AGCAGCAGATCCTATAACAAGTGACTGTCCAATCTCTTCTTAAAAACTTTCTGTGATGTGGAAGGAAGGAAGGAAGGAAGGCGAGAGGGAGGGAATGAGAGACAGAAAAAGGTAAAAAGAAAGAAAGAAGAGAAAGGAGAGAAAAAGGAAGGGAAGGAAGGAAGGAAGGAAGGAAGGAAGGAAGGAAGGGAGAGGGAGGGAATGAGAGACAGAAAAAGATAAAAATAAAGAAAGAAAGAAGAGAGAAAGGAGAGAGAAAAAAGGAAGGAAAGGAAGGAAGAAGGAGAAAAGAAGGAAGGAAGGAATAGCAGAATAACAGAGCTGGAAGGGACCTTGGAGGTCTTCTAGTCCAACCCTCTGCTTGAGCAGCAGATCCTATAACAAGTGACTGTCCAATCTCTTCTTAAAAACTTTCTGTGATGTGGAAGGAAGGAAGGAAGGAAGGAAGGAAAGCGAGAGGGAGGGAATGAGAGACAGAAAAAGGTAAAAAGAGGGAAAGAAAGAAGAGAAAGGAGAGAAAAAGGAAGGAAAGGAAGGAAGGAAGGAAGGCGAGAGGGAGGGAATGAGAGACAGAAAAAGGTAAAAAGAGGGAAAGAAAGAAGAGAAAGGAGAGAAAAAGGAAGGAAAGGAAGGAAGGAAGGAAGGCGAGAGGTAGGGAATGAGAGACAGAAAAAGGTAAAAAGAGGGAAAGAAAGAAGAGAGAATGGAGAGAGAAAAAAGGAAGGAAAGGAAGGAAGGAAGGAAGGCGAGAGGGAGGGAATGAGAGACAGAAAAAGATAAAAAGAGAGAAAGAAAGAAGAGAGAAAGGAGAGAGAAAAAAGGAAGGAAAGGAAGGAAGAAGGAGAAAAGAAGGAAGGAAGGAATAGCAAAATAACAGAGCTGGAAGGGACCTTGGAGGTCTTCTAGTCCAACCCTCTGCTCAAGCAGGAAGCCTTATCCCATTCCAGTCCCTTCTTAAAGATCCAAGGTAAGGGTCAAGGCAATTCAGGGAGCCCCTCCCTGGTCTTACCTGTAGTTCTGGCACCGAGAGCACCGATTCCTCGGAAGCTGAGGACATCTCGTCTTCCTCATCCTGGATGTAATCATCAAAATCCTCCTCTTCCTCTTCTTCCATCCCGTCTTTCTCGCCTCCTCCTCCTCCTCCTCCTCCCTCCTGGCCAGCCGTCGCCGCCCCTTCGGGCTGGTTCCCCATTTCCTCCGCCTTTCCCAAGGAGCTGCCGGTGTCCAACGCGGGGCTGCGGCCGCCAAGGTTAGTGGGAGAAGCGCGACGTCCTTCGTCTGTTGCAGTTGCCACTTGTGGGCCAGTTGAATTGCCAGTTGAGTTGTCGGTCTCCTCTTCTTCCTCCTCCTCCTCCTCCTCGCAGCCGGGTTCCTTCTGGACGTCTTCCGGCTCCTTCCTGACCCCCGAGGTCGTCTCGACCTCCAGGCCTTCCCCGAGGTCCAAAATCAGCTCTTCCTTCATCGGAGAATTCTCCGGGGTTGGAATTGGGGGGGCAGCGGCTGCGTCTAACGACGATGTCTCTTTTGACGCTTCCAAATCTACCTTGACCAGGCCTCCTAACTCCGCCGTCGGGGAGAAGGGAGCAGGGGCTAAAACCTCGGCCGCCTCCACGTAACCCTGAGTGGGAGGTTCTGTTCGGACCGCAGAGTTAAGATCGGACGACCACGGGCCTCTGGGTGCTTCCTCTGGGCCCGTTTTGGGCTCTGGTGCGTCCCCAGCGGACGCCACGTTGAGCGGTGAAGTGGACTTATCCGAATCTTTGACCAGTGCGGACGGCGTGGTAGGGCTTGAATTGGAAGCGACCACCAAGGGAAGGGCGGGAGAAGCTGCCAAGGGCTGGCTGAGCGGGCAGGAGAAGGGGGCGGGGTTGACCAGCAGCGTGGTGATGGGGATGGGCTGCGGGGCCGAAACCGCCCGGGTGGCGGAAAGCGGCTGCAGCACGTTGCAGCTATTGGCGATGCCCAAGACTTTGACCGTCCCGGCAGGAACGGTGAAGATGACGGGGGTCGGATGAAGCAACGGGGCGGCCTTCAGCAAAGGAGCGACTTTGGGCGCCTTCTTTTTCTGGTACCCCCTCGGCAGGGGAGACTTCCGGGCGTGGTTGGCGGGCAGAGCCGGGAGGATCATTTTGGGGTGGAAAGCAACGGGGAGGGAGGAGACCACGTTTGCGGGCACCGCGGGGGCCAAACGCATACGGAGGGGCGAGGGCCGAGCGGGGAGGACCCCTTGAAGCTCATAAGGGGCACCCTGGCTCAGGGTGGAGGGCAGATTCAGGTGGGGCTGCGAGGCGGGTTGGGACAAAGGGGAGACGCGAGTTGCCAATTTGCTGGGGACCGCGGCAGGCAGGGGCTGCTTGGCGCTCATTTTGATGAAGCCGCCCGTCCCGGCCGGGGGCAAGCAAAGACTCGGTTGAACCAGGAAAGGTTTGCCAGCAGCCGGACGTTGCCATCGCCAAATCCGGCGGCAGAAGCGGCTGCTCAGAGGTCTCAGGATGAGCTGGAGGCCCTCGGGCATGTGCAGAGGGGCTTCGGGGTTGGTGGGATCGGCCGCCTGGCTTCCCGCCTTGGGATCCGCGTCGGGGCCCTGGGAGGCTGCTTTAGCGCGCTGCTGCTCTATGGTCTCTTGGATGGAGGGCATGCTGGCCTGGGAAAAAGAAAGGAGAAGAAGAAATATATCTAATATTTTACCATTTTACGGCAGTACAGTAGAAGCCATTTAAAGGCACAACAGGATGCATCTTAACCACACACCCCAAAGGGCATTAGGGGTGTCTTACCCCCACAGTATTTGTTTCCAGAGGGAGGGGGGGAGGGAGGGAGAGGCAGAGGGGAGGAGGGGGGAGAGGGACCAAGAAAACTGGAATTACAAAGGATAACGCCTGCCTGATAGTGGACAAGGAAAATACGTTGTGGTGCCACACAATTGTGAAGCAAAGCCACACACACACACACACACACACACTTAAAATATTCATGACTGACAGAGATATGGGAACAAGGTCAGCCAAATGAATCGGCATAGCAACTAAATCAGCCAACAGGAGCTTAAACAGATCTGATTCTGTGCAGAGAATTGAAACGGAAACTTCAGCAGTCTGCTGCCCTGAGAAGTAAACTAGGTTTCTGGGCTTGTCTGTTGAAATGAAGCTAACCGCTTGTGTTGGCCTCTAACTCTCCTGTTTTGTGTTTACTTGGGAAAAAAACGCCTGTTGGTATTGTACATGTATTCATCTATTCTGATCTATATCAACAAATTAATGAATCCTGCTGCATCAGCTATCTGTGTGTGCTTCTGGTTTTGAGTTTATGCAAAAAACTCTTGACACACACACACACACACACATTTTACCTTTAACCAGAAGGGCAAGCGTTGTTCTTCCTGTTCCACAGGCGGCTTCCAATCTCCGGGTTGAACTTCCTCGCAAAGATGGGGCAAAACCGGAAGTTGCTTTGTGGTTTTATAATACTAAACATCGAGATAAAATCAGGGGTGGGGGCAAAAACAATAAAAGAATGGATAAATCGGGTTTATGACCTTGCCTACTGATCTACAGAGAGGCAGTCCTCGACGTACAACCGCAATTGAGCCCCCCCCCCCCCGGTTTCTGAATCAACCAGGACCTGGATGAGTGAGAAGAATTTGTGTTCCTTGCGGACAGCTGGTCATTTGCATCCTTTTAGAGGGTCATTGAGGCCACTTGGGACTTCTGTGTCCTCACCACTTTGAGTAGTGCAAATGGGTGTGGTGAAGGCTCAAGTGACCCCCCCCCCCCAAGGACACAGATAAACCTCCAAACGGCCTCAACGACCCTCTAAAAAGATGCAAATGACCAGTTCAGTCTGCAAGGAGTATCAGTCCTTCCATCCCCCACTATCTGGTAAGAGCTGAAGAAGAGAGAGAGGTCCCGTGAGAATTCCTCAACAGACCACGGTGTCACGTTTCCGAAAGATTCCCCAATTGACTCATGAGTCTCGAGCCAAGTTTCAAAAGAAAACCAGTCATTTATTAGGATTATTTATTTTGGCAAGACCTTTTGGCAGTCTGAGCCTCGTTCGAATTATCGCTGGACTTTACCCCCGTTCCTTCCCTCCCTTCAGTCTGTGTCATAAATCACGTTCACCAATGAGGTGCACCCCTCCCAAGCCTGCTGCGGCAATCTGGGATCTGACTTTCGCCGAAAATATGCGTGGAATGCGCTTCCCCACCTCCTTTCTCTCACCATGACGACTTGAGTTTAATGTGGTTGCCCCAGAGAAGGAGGGGAGAGTGGAAACTGACCCGGATAATGTTGTCGGGGACACGGTTCATATTCCGGTTCTTGATTCGTCCCGTCAGCTGGTGGGCCGTCTTGGTGGTCAGAAGGTACTTACTGATGAGGGGCTTGGGGAAATCCGTGCCTTCGAAGTGCTTGAGCCCCAGCGCCAACAAGCTGAAACAAGGAAGAGAGTCAGGAAGGGCTGGGGACATATGGTAATCCCTGACTTACGACAGTTTGTTTAGTGACCGTTCAAAAGTTACGACGGACATGGGGAAAAAAGGGGGGGACTTAGGACATTTTACACCCTTACGATCGTCCCTATCATGGTCATGGGGTCAAAATTCAGGCGCCTGGCTCGCATTTATGACGGTGGTGGTGTCCTGTAAATCCCCTTTATGCGACCGTGTTGCTTTCGTGAGAAGGGAAGTCCATGGGGAAGCCGGATCCACTTAACAACCAGATCACTAACTTATTGGCGGCAGTGATTCGTTTAACAACGATGGAGGGGAAAAGCTCGTGAAATCAGGGCACAGCTCGCTTAACAAACATTCTCGTGGATTCTCGACTTTGTGGTCGTAAAGTAGAGTCAGGAAGGACTGGGGTGGGCGGGGAACATAGGAAAAAATAGCTCCATCTTTTAAGGAGGAAACCCAGATGGATGGTCCTCAACTTATGGCCACAATTGAGCCGATAATTTCGGATGCTAAGCGGGACAGTTGAGTGAACCTTTTGCCCCCATTTTACAACCTTTCTTGCTTCCGTTGTTAAGTGAATCACTGCAGGTGTTCAGTTGGTCAGGGCTAGCGACAATGTATAGAATAGAAATAAGAGAAATACAAAATAGAGAATAGAATAGGATTAGAATGAATTAGAATAGAATAGAAATAGAATAATAAAACACAATAAGAATTACAGTAGAATTAGAATTATGATAGAATGATGATAGAATTAGAATAGAAATAGAATAAAACAGAATAGAAGAATAGAAAAAAATAAAACAGAAAGGAGGAATATAATAGAATGATGGTAGAATTAGAACAGAACAAGAATAAAACAGAATAGAATAAGAATAGAAATAAAAGAATAAAACAGAAAAGAAGAATACAATAGAATTAGAATAGAATTAGAATGATGATAGAATTAGAATAGAAATAGAATAAAACAGAACAGAATAAGAATAGAAATAAAAGAATACAACAGAATAGAAGACTACAATAGAATTATTATAGAATAGAATTAGAATGANTAGATAGATAGATAGATTATAAGAGATAAATAGATGATGGATGGATGGATAGATGTAAGATGGATGGATAGATGATGGATGGATGGATATAGATAGAAAAGATATACAGATAGAGATAGATAGAAAGATAGAGATAGATAGAGATGGAGGGATGGATGAAGATAATTCATAAAGAGATAGACACAGACAAACAGATGATAGATGACAGACAGGCAGACATGACTGTAATCAACTGAATATTTACATAGGTGAGACGTAATAAATTTGAAAATAAATTCAGATATCCTCCCCTTGGTTTCAACAGCCCTTAACGTCTGTCATGAGCCCCCCAAAAGAGCCGCTGGCTTTAGACCAGGGAAGCAAAGCAAACCGGGGGGGGGGGATTTTGAAGCCAGCCCCCTTCTCTGCTCCCCAAAAAGCGCCAGGAACGGAAGGAGGAGAGCCTACCTGGTCCATAGCACCACCTTCTCCCCCGTCGAGCTGACCTTGATGTTCTTGGCACAGACCGTGGGCTCGATGGTCCTGGGCTGCGGGTCGTCTCCCGCGACCGGCCCACTGCGATCCACACCCGCCGCGGCTGGCCCCTCCTCTCCCTTGTGTGAACGGACGTCCCCTTCCTCGGCGGCTCTTCCCGCTGGATGGGCGGCCTGAATGCCGCCGCTTGAGGAGATCTCCGGTTCGGGCTGCAGGCCGTCGCTTGCCCCCAAAGTCTTCAGAGGGACGTCTTTGGAGAGCCCGGACGACGATTCCCTGCCTTTGGGCTTTGTAGTCCCCGAGGGCGACTGGCCGCCCGGCTCCTTGAGACTCGGCCGAGAAGCAACGGTCCCGAGGAGGGATGGAGAATTCGGATCCGGCCTGGCTGGTTTCGGGGGACCTTCGGCCTCCGAAATGTCGCAGTTGGGGGCAGGTGGGGCCTCCCCGCCACTCCTGGGCGGACCGTGTCCCACCTCTCTCTTCCCCTCCGTGGGGCAGAGGCTGCTTTTCAGGCGAGGCGGTTTGGGGGGGACGGCCACCCTGGTGGGCGGCGGAGGAGTCGCAGGTGGGTTCTTGGCGGGGTCGGCCCCGTTTGGAGGGCAGGGAGGGGCAGCAGGAGGAGAGGACTCTGCGGTTTTGCCAGCTGGCGGGAGAAGGCCCTCGGGAGCGGGGTCTCGGGAGGAAAGGAGTTTCCCTTCCAGACGAGCACCTGGGAGGCAGAGAGAGAGAGAGAGAGAGAGAGAGAGAGAGAGAAAGAGAGACGGAGGAGGGTGAATCAGTTTTCAAGTTTGCTGAACTAGGAAAGGAAGGGAGGAAGGAGAGGAGGGAGGGATAAAATGAAGGAAGGACAGTGAGAAGTTATGAACTAAGAAATATGGAAAGAAGGAAGAATGGGGATGGGGAAGGAAAGGAAGGAGGGAGGGAGGAAACAAAGAAATAGGGAAGGAAGGAGGAGGATGGAAAGAAGGAAGGAGGGTGGGAAGGAAGGAAGGAATAAATATGGAGGGAGGGAGAGAGAGGGAAAGGAGGAATTGAAGAAATAGGAAAGGAAGGAAAAGGAAAGGAAGAGGGATGGAAGGAAGGGAAGGAGAGAGGAAAGGAAAGGAAGAGG